AAAACTTGTCTGGTGAAGTTAATGCGGTGATTTGAAGGAAAATCATAACCTGAAGGCTGTTGGAAAAGAAGGAAATATGAAACATGACTAGCTATCTCAACACTAGAGATGATTTAGAAATTAAGCAGATTAATAATATAATAATACTAGACACTTGCCAGGAAGTTTTAAAATTCAGCTGAAATGGATAAAATCACAGGAATAATATCACTTACCAAAAATTACTCAGTAAGAGAAAACCTACATAAATATATAATTATTTAAAAATTGAGTGAGAAGTCAAAAAACTCTCCACAAAAAGGGAACTCCAGATCATATAGCTTCACCAGAAATTTCTACAAAGTTCAAGGAAGAAATAAATTCAGTCCTACACAACCATATGCTAAAACCACACCCGACTGGCTAAAATTTAAAAAATTGAGTCTGACAAAATTGACAAGAATAGAGTGCAACAGGAACTCTTACACACTGCCAGTGGTAGAATAAATTGGTACAATCCTTGGGGATTTTCCCCATGATATAACAATTCCACTCAAGTATTTACCCTAGATAAATGTGTACACATCTCACAATTTATGTATCAAAATACTCAGAGCAGCACTAATCATTAAAGAAAAAAAATGAAAACAACCCAAAAGTCCACCAACAATGGAATGGTTCTATAGTAGAGGAGAACTAATCAACAATGGAATGGTTCTATAGTAGAGGAGAACTAATCAACAATGGAATGGTTCTATAGTAGAGGAGAACTAATCAACAGAAACCTCAGTTAAATAGAATTGGGAGACCAGAAGAGGGAGCGCTCACACCCTGCAAAGATAGCAGAGCCCAACTGGAAGAAGGACTTGCCTGGCAAGGACTTAGCCAGTGAAAAGCCATGGACTCTTAGTTTACTGTAGCCCTTCCAGCTTCCTTTTCCTCTCTATAAACGCATTCTCCTTTCCTTGCCATGTGGAGACTTGCACATGGCTCATCATGGTTACAGTCCCCAAATTACAATGCTCTGCTGATCCCAAATAAACCTATTTTTGCCAGAGAAGTATCTGGCAGTCTATTTGTTTTAGGATAGCAATAGTTTATCATATGGTCATTCACTGGAATCTTTTACAGCAATAAAAATGAATGAGAACAGCCACGTGAAACAACCGGATGACTCCTACAGTCATAACATTAAGCAAAAAGAAAATCATAACACAAAAGAATACATAAAGTATGATTCCCTGTATATAAAGTTCAAAATCAAGCAAACTTCAAGTATATTGTTTATGATTACATATATTATGGTTCACTGTAAAGGAAGACACATAAATTACTGCTATAAAAGTCAAGATGATGTTTACTGCTTGAAGAGGAGAGAGGCTGTGATTTGGGAGGGATGATTGAGGGGAATTTAGTTTACTGGGAAAATTCAGTTTCCTAATCTGAGTGTGATCATGTACACGTTTGCTTTTTTAAAATATTAGTTTTATTTATTTTTCTGTATTTTATATTTTATAAAGAAAATGTTTAAAATATAATTTGGCAGAGCTTAAAAGTAACAGAAGAGAAAAATAAAAATTATAGAATGAAGGTCACATTAAAAGAAGCAAAAAGAAGTCACAACTGCTAAAAATACACTTAGGAATATGTAGGATGAGTTAGAAAAATCCAGCAAAAGAAGAATGAGTTTTAAAAGATTAAAGAAAATTATGGATAAGGAATACAGACAAAAGAGATCCAACATAAGCGTGTTGAAAAAAATAAGACAAATAGATAAGCAGAATCTAAAGATAGGAAACCCTACAGAAAAAAGAGCACAGTCGTCAGACTTAAATGGCATATGAGAAAAAATACTGATAAAGAAAATTCAACGCAAGACAAATTATTGGGCCAAAGAAGAAATTCTAAGGACATTACAGGCCAAAAAAAAAAAAAAAAATTTCTTTTTAACCAGTAAGGATATTGAAGGGGAAGAATCAGCTGGTTTCAGACTTTTCTACAACTAGAGTCAATGCTAGCAGGGAATAGACTCTGCAGAACTCTGAGAGGATAACCAGAATATGATGAACACAACCAAGCTGCGATTCAAGTTCATAGAAAACTAAGACAGTTTCAGATATGCAAAAAATCTCTGGACCGGCCCCTCAAAATTAAATCAAAAAGATTACTGACTGTACCTCCCTCACCAACTCCTGGTCTACATTCCTTAGTGGGGCAGTTTGGTCACTAAATGTGGCTATCCCCTGAAATGCCTCATCTCTTTTTGGCCACCTCCTGGGTAATGATTAGGATGAAAGGGATAGAAGGTTCTATAAAAAACTACTTTGAAGTTTCAGGATTGTATCCTGACCATTCCTCGGCATGATGCTTTTCTTTCCCTAACAGCAACTCCAGGTCACCCTGATTGGTACACCCTCCAGGTGGCAGGCCAGCCAAAAAGGGCCTTTGGGATTCAAACTTCATTCAGATCAGATACCTGGATTCTCTTGTGTGTTTTTGTTTTTGTTTGTTTGTTTGTTTTGCGGTATGTGGGCCTCTCACTGTTGTGGCCTCTCCCGTTGCGGAGCACAGGCTCCGGACGCGCAGGCTCAGCGGCCATGGCTCACGGGCCCAGCCGTTCCGCAGCATGTGGGATCTTCCCGGACCGGGGCACGAACCCGCGTCCCCTGCATCGGCAGGCGGACTCTCAACCACTGCGCCACCAGGGAAGCCCCTGGATTCTCTTTTGGATTGACAAGGCTCTAGGTCATGAGGATAATGATCATTTGGTTGAGTACAATGCTGGACAACTCCCCTTACAAGCCAAGATGTGGAATATAATGGGTTTCTATAAATGCTGTAAAATTGCTTTTGTCCCTTTCCCACCTGAGTGCTCTGGACTGAAGGCCTCGGTGCCAGTGGCAGATGACTAGAGAAAAAGCGAAGTTATAGACACTGGGGTGGGACGCACTGACTTCATGGCTGGGGGGAAGACTAGCAACACTAATACCTGGGGAAGGAGCACCTTAGAACCTGGGAGGTTCAGGGAGTGGGGAGAACAGCTAAGGCTCTCTTTTTCACCCTAGATCCAACACTACTGCCTGGCAAAATAATTATGCGGTCTGCTTGAGTCAAGCAGCAGCTGCGGCTGGCAACCTGACCCACTGCCCAGTTGTCATGCTGTCCACATGCTATGAGAATGGAAAATTTCACGTAGACATGGCAGGCCCTGAGCTATTCTGTTGTGCTTGAGGCCATCAATGGCAGATCCCAAATGTGGACCCCTCTCGTGTGTACAGACACAGTATGACTTTGTTTCCGTCTGACTGATACAAATTCATAAAATTCTCTTGATGCTGGGAACAGCTGTGGGTTAGGTCACGTATGGCAAACAAAGCAGTTGTAACTACTCAGTGGCACTGCCCACCTGATATAACCAAATCAAGGGAATGGTGACCCAAATCAAATATAACAACAAACCCCACACCGGAGCGACCTGTGCACCTGCAGTTTATGTGTTTGCGTGTGGGGAAGTGTAGACCACTGAATGGCTCTTTAACGGGGAAGGGGTTGTTTTTGGCCCATCTTTGGCCCCCTTTATTTACTGCCAATGACACCAAGAGCAGCAGGTCATTCTAAATTCCCTTTCATGAGTTGTAATGGAAACCCAGACCCACTGTTCCTCCTGGCGTTGCTCAGCTGCTGAGCCCAGGACCCTGGGGCATGGTTTAAACCAGTACTACAGTTTGGCCTCATCCTGTGCTTGGAGTCCTGTTGATAGTAGCCTTAATTAAATGGCACATGAGATAAACCGAACAAATTTAGTCCCAGCTTCTGTTGGTCAGACTAATCAGAGTGGCCAGTGGAGTGGCTTATCCACGGGAAAATTCACCAGAAGCGAAGACTGTATTGTGTCAGAAAAGTGTTGGATGTTTTGGGGAGACATTCTTCCACGGGTATTTCACTCTCCCACATGTTGTACTGACAAAAATGCAAGGCCCTGACAATACTTTACCTGGCTGTTTCCTAGGATGTGTGTGCAGTGAGCAACCTTGAGGGATGAAGAAATGTCTCCCTCCAGGACAAAGGGCAGGCTTGCTCTCTGCTTGCTATAAAATGGTGAGTTCCCCAAACTCAGTGTTCCTCTCCTGGAATGCAACCCACTGCATGTGGAGGCATCCATCCAAGTCTTTCACATCGACCCTGTGGGACCTGGGGCACTCAGGAAACTGACACAGACATGCCCAATGCTTATGGGGCTATACTCTGAGTAATGAAGTCCTCTGTCTCTGACAGGATTCTACATCTCCTGCCAGCATCCATTCAACAGTAATAGGCTAACTTATTAGGTTACAAGCAGAATAAAATTAAAATTTAGACCCCAAAGTTACATCATAATTGTGAAAAATACATATATAAATTGACAATGGAAACATAGAAAAGCAGCACTTTCTTGGAAGAGCCAGGAAGACGTATCATAGTGTCTAGGCTTCCCACATGTAGAGCAAAATTCTTGACCCAGAGGTCAATAATTCATGCTGTATAAGTAAAAATGTACTAGCCAATATCAATCAGTTCAAGATTTAAAAAGAAAATAAAAATCTAAACAATACATCATTGAACATAAAAAGTACTCAGAACATAGGACGAGATTTTATTAGATTGCAAGCTCCTTGAGACCATAGACAGCATTTTTCCAGATAGAAAATGATTAGTAAAACCTTTGATTTAATAAGAAAAATTAATTCAAGGACAGATGGAATATCTAAGGATGACAGAACACGGAAGACCTAAATTAAGTGCTATTTACTTAATACATACCCTGTCCAAAGTACTAAGGGGGACACAAAGAAATGTGAAATATGGCTTCTATACTAATAACATGTAATATACTGATCCGTATATACGAAATTCAGATTCTCATTTCTGAGAATAACTTACCTTCTAGCCCCATTGATTTTTCATCGTCTCTCCATAAACTAAATTTCTTCTAGCTGTATAAGCCACCAAATAGGCACCATTTTCCTAATGGAAAACTGAACTCACCCAAGCCTCTGAATATTGCAGTTTGGATGTCTCAAAGCCTCAAACAGAATTCCTACTCCATCATCCTGCAGGTCATTGTTCCCAAGGTCCAGGCTCTTCAGGTTTGGGTTGTTCAAAATAGCAGAAGACAGATCCAGACAACATGCTCTGACGAGAACACAGCCCATCAATCTGTGAGAAACAAAAAGAGAGGTGAGATCTTCAGCTGTGAGGTTTTATTAGTTTATTCCTAGGAGAGATGCCCAGGTATTTGAGCCTTTTCTCTGAGCCTTTTCTATCTATAACCTAGGGTGCACATAGGAAGGTCTAACACTACTAGTAAAAACAGATGAGATTTCTTTTTTTTTTTTTTTTTTTTGAGATTTCTTAATGAGCAGGAAAAAAGCCAGCAGGTGAAACTGCCTTCTCTCACAAATAGGTTGTTTTCTAGTAAGCTTCCCAGATCAAGGGTATAAACACTTATTTCTATCAATACCAGAAAAAAATGGATATAACTTTCCCGAGGAACTCACAGATCTCTATGCCTTCAGTTGCTAATATATTTTTGAAATAAAAATTCTGTCCAGTAATCTAAAAGTCATATTTCTGAAGAAGAAAGAAGCTACATACAAAAAGGTATTTCCTTCAAGTCCTTTGTAGGGCATTCAAGAGCATTCACAATCTGGCCTTGTGTTATCTTTCCATACTTTGTTCCCACCCTATTTTCCAACCATACCCATCCATTTTCCCCCCAAATATATCACATCTATCTGCATTCCCCCCTTCTTCTCTCTTCTTTCCTTCTGCTTAGAATATCTGCACATAACAAAATCCTCTTTATCTTTCAAGACTAAAGTAACTCAGTGTCTTCTGTCCCATTCCTTGCTCCCTGGGACTTCTGCCATATCCTTTTAACAACATATGGAATCTATATATAGTTGGCTTTATATTTATTTCCCTGCCATCTGCACTTTGTGAGTTACCTGAGGACAAGAGCATAACCTCAGAGATAACCTTTAGCCCCCTCAGCATCTAGCTCATATTTTTTGTAAATATTGCTTGAGAGAAGTGGCATCCTGAGAGGCTGTGACAGTAGCTAAGGAAGTACAAATTGGTCTGTGTGTTTACAGCAATGCTAAGGAGGAAAAGCAGGCTAAGCAAACATCTTGTGTGCATAGGTCACTTAGAAATTATATCTCTGTAGCTGAAATGAAGGCACTGGATTTATTTTTTTAATCTACTTTTTTAAATACACAGCGTGATATTTTATTTATTTATTTATTCGGCTGCTCCGGGTCTCAGCTGCGGCATGCGGAATCTTCCATCTTTATTGCAGCATGCAGGATCTTTAGTTGCAGCATGTGGGATCTTTAGCTGTGGCAAGCAAACTCTTAGTTGCAGCATGCATGTGGGATCTAGTTCCCTGGCCAGGGGTTGAACCCGGGCCCCCTGCACTGGGAGCGTGGAGCCCTAGCCACTGGACTACCAGGGAAGTCCCAAGGCACTGGATTTAATGATAAACACCATGAAGTAAAATGTTTTCTAGTTGAATAATAATCAAGGAAAGCAGAGAATCACATTGTAACCCATATCATATACATTTTCCCAGAGGAAGTACAGGTGCTTACTGGATCCAAGAGTTCAATCACCTTAGTGTTTACAGATGTGACAATCAACTATTAAACTCATTTGGAAATTTGGTTATCATGAGTCAGTCCAGTCAGGCCAAACACTTCTGGGTATACCATTGATCATCAGTTTATCATTCTAGAAAAACAATTTTGGGCTTAGACCCTTAATGACTCACCCACGCTACTAGTCCCATGGGAGGCCCTAGTGGGAAAGTGAGATTTCTAAGCGACACTTCTATCTTGCTTCACTCGAGCCACAATATTTACCTAATGAAATATTAAACATCATGTAGCCATTAAAATAATCAGATAATTGTATGTAAGTATTTAAATGTGTTTCTGAAATACTATCATGTGAAAAGGAAACCTCAAAGTCATGTCTACACAGTAATCACAATTACATACACACATATCATGCACATGTATGTCTACCCACTCCCAGAGCAAGGGAGAACATAATAGGAATAAAAATGGTTGCTGTTTAAGAATGACTGGATGGTTGGATATTTTAAAAAATTTCATTCCCAGTTTCTTTCAAAGTTGACCTAATTATAAACCTGAGTTTGAGAAAGAAAAACTAGTAGAGCACAGTTTCGGCTTCATGGATTTAAGGTAGAAGACACACAGTAGACTCCCTGGAGCACAACCAAGGAAAAAATGAAATGGCTACCATTCTGCCTGATGTCTCTGGTCCTCCCTACCTGAGGGAATGAGGGAAGTTGACTGTAATTACTGTAGTAATTGTTTTAGAAAAATCTGACGAATAGATTTCCCCAGCTTGTCTCAGGCAGAATGAGAGAGAGGGAATCAGCTGTGTATTCTTTTCTCTGACAAATACTCTGCTCCCAGCCTTTCTTTCCGCATCTCCCCTGCCCTCACAGTACCTAAAGCTACACAAAAGTAAGGTCACAGAAAACCTACTCCAGGTCTTGGAGACTGCAGCTTGGATGCCGAAAGACATCACACAGAAGCTTTACTCCATCATTCTGTAGGCAGTTTGACCCCAGATCCAGGTGCGTCAGGCTCTTGTTGCATAGGAGGGAGGTTGAGAGAGATTCACTGCTGGGTGAAGTGAAATGGCAATGCCTCAGCCTGTGGGAAGGACAGTGTAAGGAGAGATGGAATCACTGCTCTACTGCCTAGAGATTTATATCTTTGAAGAGATTTCATGTTACAATCCCATATTTACTTGACAGCACGCCATGTCAAATGAAATGCCCTCTTCCCCCATTGCCTCTTTGGCTGGCTCACTTGGGATCCTTAGGTTTGCGCCAAACTGGGCTACAAACTGGATTTTTGTTCTTCAGAATTTGTCTTACTATAAATAATATGTTAACTTCCTTACACTGTATATAAATATAGTATCCTACTGCAGAAGTAGCTCTATGGAGCACAGGAGCAGGCAAATGGAGTAGAATGACAGTAATCATAATTAACTAAGGACTTTTCATACATAATAAAAGTGGCATTTCCAATCAGAAGGGAAAAGATACATTATGCCATAAATGATTTGGGGACAACAGATCTAATATACAGGGGAAAGTAAGTTTAAGCCTTATAACAAAATAAATTTGGAATAATTTAAAATTTAAATGTTAAAAATTACATCATAAAGAATATGCAAAGGATGACATAAGTGGGTTTTCTTTTTAAAAAAGGTATTTCCAATTATGAAAAAACTCCTAGAAGTCATGAGGAGTCATAATTTGACTACACAAAAGTTGTAAACATCTATATCCTAAAATGACCATAAAGAAAGTTAGAAATACAGCAACATGCTAGGTAAGTTATTTACGATTTATAAAAAATAATAGTAACAACGTATATGTGATATTAATACCATAACGTATATAATAGAAAACATCCAGGAGAAAACTGAGCCTTATGAAGAGGCAATTCCTTGAATACTAGAGGCCAAAAACATTCGGAAAGATATTCAACATCAAATCATTTTTAGAGTTATTTTCAACTATCTAATTAATATTGATAAAGAAGCTTATAGATACAAAGTGAAGATATTAGAAATGTAAGCCCCTAAACCGCTGAGGGAATGTACACAATCTATCTGGAGGCAGTTTAACCATATCTGACAAAATAAAAAATTCTGACTCGTCAATTCCATGTCTAGGAAGTTACGTAACAGCAACGAACAGTATAATCACACCATGATCCAGCCATGCCACGTGACGTGTTCAATGGTTTTTGTTTAATCATATTGATATATATTTACCTGTTTGGAGCCCAGAATATAGAGTTGGATGGGTGGACTTTAGTCCTAAATCCATCATTTTCTTGTAAGCATTATGAAAGCTGCATAACCTTTCTAAGCCTCACATTCCTTACCTGTTCAGTGAGGCACTTAGAACTCAGGTGGCCAGACTGGCACCAATAGGTACTTCTGTTCAGGTTAAACAAATTTTGCGCAGGGCCCAGCACAAAGTCAGGGCAAAATAAATGGCGATTATTAATACCATCATCCTGATCATTATCATTAAAGATTCTGGGGAAAAAGCAAGGGACATAATAGGTCCATAATATTTTCCCAGTTTAAATATATTTCAAAATGGGTATTATATTGGAAGGATGACAACTAGCAGACACTCACACAAGGCTCTGTAGAGTGCACTCTGGCTGTTTCAAGGCATCACTCATAAGCTTTACTCCGCTATCTCCCAAGACACTGTCCACCGAGCATAAACGTGTCAGCCTTTTATTGCTGATGAGAGCCAAAGAGAGATCCTCACAACCAGCTACCGTGAGCCCACAGCTTTCTAAGCTGAAGGAGAAAGACAGATGGGGAGGGATCAGTCAATTCCCAAAGTGCATCCTTCTCTTCTCCTTCACAGGGAAGTTAGCTGGTACTCACAACCCCTACATCTCTACTATAGAAGCAACCTCATCAAACCTACTTAAATCATGAATTCCACTGCAGCTATGGACAGGGTATGATGAAACAAAACATAGGAGGAGAGAGGATAAGCCTCGAAAACAATGAAAATAAGATGTCAGTCATAAAGAGATGTCTACAAGTCAAGTGAAAGAGGAAGGGAGGTAGAAAAAGAAAAGGAGGAGGTCTTGCAGGATTGATGAATGAGCCAATTAATGTCAGGACCCAAGCAGTTTCCCCATTCAGGTCATAATTAAGCTACGCAAGACTGAACAAAATGAATCTATAGAAAATAGTACAGAAAGACTCACGATAATCTCTCTAGGTTACACTTTGGGTGCATTAAGGCCTCACACAACATCTTCACTCTGTCATCCAAGAGATTATTAGTTGATGGATTCAGAGATAACAAGCTTTGGCTTCTGATGAGAACCTTAGAGATATTTCGGCAACAAACCGTAGTTAGGTCGCAGGATTGATTCCAAGCTGGAAAACAATACAGAAAAAAAGAAATGACCACTCCTCAGAGAATAATGATAACCCCCACTCACCCAGCCAGAGGGTGTGGTTTCCCAGTCTTTGGGATTTGTTCTGAAAATCCAGCTTCCCTACACAGAATGAGAATGATTTAACTAAAGCACAGGGCTCTGACAGAGAGAGTTAGGGAGGGGAGGGGAGGAAGCTTGTCTCTTCCATCCCCACCTCCCCAGTTCCCCCACGAAATATGTATGCAAGCATTTAAAAATATCTTCAAATTATAATCTTTTTTAATCTGGGAGAAATTTCCTTTAACTACAACTTGGAAGAAGGTGGACTGGAGGATGGCTGTACCCTTGCATTCTTTGACTTCTGAAACAGAATAGAGGTGGGCAGGAAATCAGACGTAAAAGCTGTGACAACCACAAAACTGTCTGCCAAGAGCTCATTTCTTCATGGGAGCCAACCTATGTTTTCTGAGGAACCCTGTCCTTAACAGTGAAAACAAGAAGTAAATCAGAAATAAAATAAAATGGTTTCTAAAAATAAAGTAAAAGAGGAAGGGAAACAGAAGAAGAAAATAAGAAGTACATGTAGAGCCCCTATTTTCAGAGACTCATATTTAGAGACCACTTGGGCTTTGACCATGGCTGGGACTAATATCAGCTATTTGTAAGAAGAGTCAGGCAGCAGCATTCCTGGAACTTGGAATTGTTCCATTTACTCCCATTAATCAAGGACTTATCAACTTGAGTCCCTCGAGAATTGGTTCTCTACATCAAAATCAGCATATAGAGAGGTAGGAACAGGAGAAACTCCCTCCTCAGTCCAGAATTAGACCTCAGTGGATGACCTAGAACATGGCTCAAGGCTGAAAACCTCACCTTGCTTTGAAAAGTTGTTATGGACTGAATTGTTCCCCAAATTTGTATGTTGAGGCCCTACCCCCAGCCCAATGTGACAGTATTTAGAGACAGGGCCTCTAAGGAGGTAGTTAAGGTTAATGAGGTTGTAAGAGTGGACCCCTAATCCAATAGGACTGATGTCCTCATAAGGGGAGGAAGAGACACCAGGAGTGAGCACATGCACAAAAAGGCCATGTGAGGACACAATGAGAAGGTAGCCATCTACAAGCCAGGGAGAGAGGCCTCACCAGAAACCAACCCTGCCAGCACCCTGATCTTGACCTTCCAGCTTCCAGAACTGTGAGAAATAAATTTATATTGTTTAAGTCTGTGCTATTCTGGGTATTCTGTTATGGGAGCCTGAGCAGATTAATACAAAAGGGTTTGTATCAGCAGCCAGGTAGGCAACTAGGGAAACCAGGGAAATCTTATAAATTATGTTTGGATAGAGCTCTTCTAGACAGAAAAGAGACTCCAATATTATGGGACCTGTGGATAAAATATTAAAGCTTAACAGAAAGAAAACATTACACTAAGGGACAGAAAATAAGCACATGTATAAAACCCAGAAAACTAGGAAACAGAAGAAAGTGCTTAGAAAGGCTTCCTTTACATTTTAAATGTATAGGAAGACTCTGTGAAACAAGAATACCACATCAGAAGTGGAGATCAGGGGAATTCCATAGAGGTCAACTGGTTAGGACTCCACGCTTCCAACGCAAGGGGCACAGGTTCAATCCCTGGTTGGGGAACTAAGATCCCGCATGTCTCAAAAAAAAAAAAAAAAAAAAAGTCAAAACAAAACAAAACAAATGGCTATGGGACTTCTCCCTGATTTTACTAAAGTGAGAAATAAAAATGCACACGTTTTCTTAGATCACATAAGGCTTTGCATTTCTTTAACAATAAGTCTAAACTAAAGAATTTCCTAAATCTCTTACAGTTCCCTTATAGGTCAAATAATCATTACTTATGTTAATATTTATTGTTTGTTTTTTTAAAAACATCTTTAATGGAGTATAATTGCTTTACAATGATGTGTTAGTTTCTGCTTTATAATTATGTTAATATTTAAAAGAATATAAATATAAATCTGGGTGTATAATTTAAATGAGTTAAATAAATAACTAACATCTTTATAAATCAGGATCTTATAAATCTTGGAATGAGACAATATTACAAACACTATACTATCTGGGTCAAGCTTGAGATATAATACTGTTTTGCTAAATTCTTAGTTACTAACAGTGGCTATACTCTCCTTAATGTTAACTTGAATATATTTTCTAAACTTACTAATTGATTTTGGAAACTTGGAATAATGTAATATTTTAAAAATTAGTAATTTGGGGCTTCCCTGGTGGCACAGTGGTTGAGAGTCCACCTGCCGATGCAGGGGACACGGGTTCGTGCCCTGGTCCGGGAAGATCCCACATGCCGCAGAGCGGCTGGGCCCGTGAGCCATGGCCACCGAGCCTGAGCATCCGGAGCCTGTGCTCCACGACGGGAGAGGCCACAACAGTGAGAGGCCCGCGCATCGCAAAAAAAAAAAAAAAAAAAAATTAGTAATTTGTGTTTATCTAAAGACATCTAAAGAAATTAAACTTCAAAGAGAGAAAATAAATTACATTCTTACAACAATCTGTTACCATTTTTTCTTCATACTATTCAAATTAAAATAGCAAAATCAATGTATTGTCTTATATCCCATGTTATTTATGTTTAAAGAGTTAGGGCTTAAACATTTAAACCAGGGGTCCCCAACCCCTGGGCCATGGACTGGTACTGGTCCGTGGCCTGTTAGGAACCGGGATGCAGAGCAGGAGGTGAGCGGCAGGTGGGCAAGCGAGCGAAGCTTCATCTGTATTTACAGCCGCTCCCCATTGCTCGCATTACCGCCTGAGCTCCGCCTCCTGTCAGATCGGCTGCGGCATTAGATTCTCATGGGAGCGCGAACCCTACTGTGAACTGCACATGCGAGGGATCTGGGTTTCAAGCTCCTTATGAGAATCTAATGTTTGATGATCTGAGGTGTGGCAACCCTGAGGTAGGGCAACCCGTACCAGCAGAAATTTACCTATGTCTTTTTACAAGCTGTGAGTTTTGTCGTCACCAATAAGGACGACTCAGGGAGCTTCACTTTTCTCAGCAAACTACTCATGAGGAAGGACACGGGGTGTACCTGGGTCCAGTCTGTACACAGCACACACTCAGGTTCCTCAAAGGCAAAGTTCAGTTCATCAAAACTATCAGTAATAAAAAGGAGACTACTCGGCTGGGACAGAATCCTTTCAATGGGGCCTTCTGTGCAGGGCCAGTCCTTTGATATCATTTGAGCAAAGCTTCTCTCTCTCAACTGGTTCATTTCTCTTGCATTGAGATAAAAAACATAGGTAAATTTCTGCTGGTAGGGGCTGCCCTGTGCCCAGTCTAACATCACCATTCTCACCAAGGTTGTCTTCCCAACTCCAGCAGCCCCCTGAAGGATCACGGTCTGTGGCTGCTCACCCGTTCTGACATCCTCATCAAACAAACGTTCCAACAGTTCTCGGCCTTCCTGAGCAATTTCATGACAGAAGGTTTCAGATTCTCCAAGCAAATAGTTCTTATCTAACATGATGCAAAATTTTTCCCTTATTTGAACTCTGTATTCTGCTCCGTCACCTAAATCAGTTAGAAGGGAGCCAGAAGGTACACATGATCAGAATTAATTCTATGATTTTCAGTCTTAAGAATATTGCACTTAGAGTAGGACCAAGAAGTGATACATGCTGAAATCAAAGTACAGCTGGTTTAAATGACAAAAGAATGTAAATAAAACAAAAATATTCTTGTAGGTTTAAAACCCACATTATAAACTGAAAAAACAGAACCCACAATGCAGAAATTAATGATGGAAAATAAAAATTAGATTCGTTCCAGAAATACTTTTTTTCTTCCCTGTACTTCTATTCTACAGAGAAAAAAGAGGATGTATGTGGAGAACAGAGCCATCATCCAGATAAAAGGAGAACACAGGCAACAATTAACAATAATACCCAGATAGGAACTGAAAACAGATCTGAATCTACAGATCAAAATCATCCACTTTATACAGATAAACCATTAGTGGACATGAACAGTTGCAGACATTCTCCCCAAGGAGCAAGACGGCTAAGCCCCACATCGAGCTTCCCACCCTTGGGGTCCTGCACTGGGAAGATGAGCCCACAGAACGTTTGGCTTCGAAGGCAGCAGGGCTTACTTTCAGGAGAGCCAGAGGGCTGTAGGAAACATGACTCTGCTCTTAAAGGGCACATACAAAATCTCACATGTTGAGACCCAGAGTAAAAGCAGTAATTTGAAAGGAGCTCGGGTAAGACCTAGTACCTGATCTTGGAAAGCCTCCCAGAGAGGCAGGAGGCAACTGGGACTCACCCATGGGACACAGACACTGATGGCAGCTGTTTGGGGAGTTCCTTCTACCACGAGGACACTGGTGCTGCCAAGAGCCATTTTGGAGTCCTTCCCCTAGCTCATTAGCACCAGGACCCAGCCCTGCCCACCAGCTGGTGGGCACCAGTCCTGGGGCACCCCAGATCAAGCAGCAACCACATAGGGACACAGCTTCACCCACCAGCAAGCCGATAGAAGCCGTAGGCCCCCCTGAGCATCCCAGCTGGCCCAGGACCCATCCCCCAGACCCCCACCAGTGGGAAGACACCAGTCCCTGGACCCTGCCTACCAGCGGGTGGACACACCAGCTCCAAGATATCTTAGGCCCCTCAGCCAGCATCCCTGGTATCCAGCCTCAACCACCAGTGGGCCAGCACTGGCCCCAGAACCTGCCCTCATCTACCAGCTCTAGGACCCCCAGGCCACAGCCAGCCACCCCAAACCTGGCTCTGCCCATTAGTGGGTCAATACTAGCCCTGGAACCCCTCAGAGCTCCACAGCCAGTCACCTCTGGACCTGGCTCCACCAGGGGTGCCAGGACAGACTGGTCCAGTCCTGGCACCCCTGTACTCCCAAAGCCAGCCACCTTGTGATCCGGCCCCGCTGACCAACAGGTCAGCCCAGACTGTGCAGCCAGTCACACCATGCCCCAACCCCACCCAATAGCAGGTCATCACCAGCTCTGGGAACCCTGGGCCTGCAGCCGGCCACCCATGGCCCAGCCCCACTCACCAGCGGGACAGCACCAGGACAGGGACCCCCCAGGCCATGCAGCCAGCTGCTCCAGGACCAGCTCCACCAGCAGCCAGCAGCCTCTGCACTAGGCAGGGCCTAGCAACCAGGCCAGGGGCCAGCCATGCCTACCTGTGTGTCCACAGTAGGCATGTGGCCTGTTGTAGCCCTGCCACAACAGAAGGGCCCATGCAGCCCAGAGAGGAGTCACCACTAGAGCATATACCTCTGTTGACCAGAGGGAAGTGTGCTACTGGGCCTCAGGTCAGCTCCTAAATAAGGCCACTTCCCCAAGATTAGGACTGACCTACCTAATACATAGAAACAGACACAGAAACAGCTACAAGAAAAAAGCTAAAAAACACAAACACATGGAGGCTAAGCAATATGCTACTAAACAACTAATGGGTCAATGAAGAAGTCAAAGGGGAAATAAAAAAATACCTAGAGACAAACGAAAATGAAACCACGATGATCTAAAACCTATGGGATGCAGCAAAAGCAGTTCTAAGAGGGAAGTTTCTAGCAATACAGTCTTAACTCAGGAAATAAGAAAAATCACAAATAAACAACCTAACCTTACACCTAAAGCAACTAGAGAAAGAACAAACAAAACCCAAAGTTAGTAGAAGGAAAGAAATCATAAAGATCAGAGCAGAAATAAATGAAATAGAAATGAAGAAAACAATAGCAAAGATCAATGAAACTAAAAGCTGGTTCTTTGAAAAGATAAATAGAATTGATAAACTTTTAGCCAGACTCATCAAAAAAAACAGGGAGAGGGCTCAAATCAATAAAATTAGAAATGAAAAAGGAGAAGTTAACAATGGACACTGCAGAAATACAAAGAATAAGAGACTACCACGAGCAACTATATGCCAATAAAATGGGCAATCTGGAAGAAATGGACAAATTCTTAGAAAGGTACAATCTCCCAAGGCTGAACCAGGAATAAATAGAAAATATGAACAGACCAATCGCAAGTACTGAAATTGAAACTGTGATAAAAAACTCCCAACAAACAGAAGTTCAGGACCAGATAGCTTCATAGGAGAATTCTATCAAACATTTAGAAAAGAGTTAACACCTATCCTTCTGAAATTATTCCAAAAAATTGCAGAGGAAGGAATACTCCCAAACTCATTCTATGAGGCCACAATCACCCTCTTACCAAAACCAGACAAAGATATCACAAAAAAAGAGAATTACAGGCCAATATCACTGATGAACACAGACACAAAAATCCTCAACAAAACACTAGCAATCCAAATTCAACAATACATTAAAAGGATCATACACCATGATCAAGTGGGATTTATCCCCAAGGAGAGTTCAGTATCTGGAAATCAATCAATGTGATTCACCACATTAACAAATTAAACAATAAAAATCATACGATCACTTCAATAGATGCCGAAAAAGCTTCTGACAAAATTCACATCCATTTAGGATAAAAACTCTCCAGAAAGTGGAGGTGACCATACTACCCAAGGCAACCTACGGATTCAATGCAATCCCAATCAAAATACCAAGGGCATTTTTCACTGAACCAGAACAATCTAAAATTTGTATGGAAACACAAATGACCCCAAATAGCAAAAACAATCTTGAAAAAGAAAAACAAAGCTGGAGGTATCACAATCCCTGACTTAAGACTATACTACAGTAATCAAAACAGTATGGTACTAACACAGAAACAGACACACAGAACAATGGAACAGAAAAGAGAGCCCAGAAATGAACCCATACTTATATGGTCAATTAATCTACAACAAAGGAAATGTGAATATATAATTGAGAAAAGAGAGCCTATTCAATAAATTGTGTTGGGAAAAGTAGACAGCTGACATGCAAAAGACTACTTTGTCACACCATATACAAAAATAAACTCAAAATGGATTAAAGACTTAAATGCAATGCAAGCAACCTAAGTGTCCATCGACAAAGGAATGGATAAAGAAGGTGTGGTACATATATACAATGGAATATTACTCAGCCATAAAAAAGAATGAAACAATGTCATTTGCAGCAACATGGATGGACCTAGAGATTGCCATACTGAGTGAAGTAAGTCAGACACAGAAAAACAAATATTATATGATATCGCTTATATGTGGAATCTAAAAAAATGGTACAGATGAACTTATTTATAAAACAGAAATAGAGTCACAGATGTAGAAAACAAACTTATGGTTACCAGGGGGGAAAGGGTGGGGGAGGATTAAATTGGAAGATTGGGATTGACATATACACACTACTGTATATAAAATAGAAAACTAATAAGGACCTACTGTAGAGCACAGGGAACTCAACCTATATGGGAAAAGAATCTAAAACAGAGTGGATATATGTATATGTATAACTGAATCACTTTGCTGTACAGTAGAAACACAACATTTTAAATCAACTATACTCCAATAAAAAATTTTTTAAAAAGACTTAAGTGTTAAGACCTAAAACCATAAAACTTCTGGAAGAAAACATAGGCAGTGTGCTCTTTGACACTGGTCTTAGCAATATTATTTTGGATATGCCTCCTCAGACAAGGGAAATGAAAGCACAAGTAAACAAATAGGACTACATTGAACTAAAAAGCTTTTTTTTTAAAAAAGGTTTTGCATTTGAGGGTATTATGCTAAGAGAAATAAGTCACACAGAGAAAGATATAATATCACTTATATGTGGAATCTAAAAAAATGCAACAAACTAATGAATATAACAAAAAAGAAGCAGACTGACAGATATAGAGAACAAACTAATGGTTACCAGTTGGGGGGGAGGGGCACTATAGGGGTATGGGATTAAGAGGTACAAACTATTACATACAAAATAAGCTACAAGGATATATTGTACAACACGGGGAATATAGCCAATATTTTATAATAACAATAAATGGACTTTTAAAAATTATGATTCTTATATTGTACACCTGTGACATATAATATTGTACATCAACTATACTTCAATCAATAAATAAATAAATAAAAAGCTTTTGCACAGTGAAACTATCAACAAAACAAAAAGGCCATCTACTGAATGGGAGAAGATATTTGCAAATACTATATCCATTAATGTGTTAATATCCAAACTATACAAAGAGCTCATACAACACAACATTAAAAAAAAGCCCTGGTGGCACAGTGGTTAAGAATCCGCCTGCCAATTCAGGGGACATGGGCTCGAGCCCTGGTCCGGGAAGATCCCACATCCCGCGGAGCAACTAAGCCCGTGCGCCGCAACTACTGAGCCTGTGCTCTAGAGCCCACGAGCCACAACTACTGAGCCCGAGTGCCACAAGTACTTAAGCCCGCGCGCCTAGAGCCCGTGCTCTGCCACAAGAGAAGCCACCTAATGAGAAGCCCGTGCACTGCGACGAAGAGTAGCCCCTCTCGCCACAACTAGAGTAAAGCCCACGTGCAGCAACAAAGACCTGATGCAGCAAAATAAATAAATTTATTTAAAAAAAAAACCCTATTGAAAAATGGGCAGAGGACCTGAATAGACATTTTTTCAAAGATGACTTCAGATGGGCAACAGCACATGAAAAGATTCTCAACATCACTAATCATCAGAAAAATGCAAATCAAAATCACAACAAGACATCACCCCACATCTGTCACAATGGCTATTGTCAAAAAGACAACAAATAACAGGTGTTGGCGAGGATACGGAGAAAATGGAACCCTCAGGCACTGTTGGTGGGAATGTAAGTTGGTACAGCCAGTATGGAAAACAGTAAGAAGGTTCCTCAAAAAATTGAAAACAGAACTACCATACGATACAGTAATTCTACTCCTGGGTATTTAGCCAAAGAAAATGAAAACACTAATTCAAAAAGATATATGCACCCTTATGTTTACTGTAGCATTATTTACAATAGCCAAGATATGGAAGCAACCTAAGTGCCCTTCAACAGATGAACAGATAAAAAAACTGTGGTATATATACACAATGGAGTATTAGCCATAAAAAGGAATGAAATCTTGCCATTTGTGACAACATGGGTGGACCTAGAGGGTGTTATGCTAAGTGAAGTAAGTCAGACAGAGAGAGACAAATACTGTACAAGTTCACTTATATGTGGAATCTAAAAAACAAATGAAAAAACATAATGAAACAGAAACAGAGTCATAGATACAGAGAAAAACAGGTGGTTGCCAGAGGGGTGGGAGATGGGAGGAATTTAGAAATAGGTGAGGGAGAGGTACAAACTAAAAAAGAAAAAGAAAGAAAGAAATGAACATTGAAGCATAGCCTGAAGAATATTTTAAAGAAAAGAAAAGAAATTCCCAAGTGTCCAAGTAGAATGAAAATATAGTTACATCTTTTCCTAGTTCAGTCTGATTCCTTCTTTAGAGCTCAATTTAAATGTCACTATCTCTGGGAAGACTTCTCTGAACTCCAAAGATAGATAGTTCTCTCTTTTGTATATTCTCAGAACACAGTATATTTTCCATTCACAGCACATATCTCAAGCTGGAATTACTTTAGTTTTTAAAGCATATAATTCTTTTCTTTGTTCTACTAGGGCATTCAGTGCAAACATCTAACAAAGTTCATATCCCACTAAATTATGCTTAGTTTTCCCCCAGGGGAAGGTATGGTATTAGAAGTCAGATACTCTTTCTTTTTATGATATAATATCATACAGTGCTGTACTTTTAAAAAATTGGGATTATAAGGATGATCTTTACTATCTTCATTATACTTTTATCTATCTTCCAAATTTTCCAAAGTAAATTTCTATGGAGGTAGAACCTTGGTTTCCTAAATTTTATACCACAAAAATAAGCTTCCTTATATTGTATCAGAAATTAAGGTCCAAGCAGGAACTTATCTTTAAAATCATTTAATACAATAATAAATTTTTATTTATTAGTGCTTAGAATAAAATAGGTTCTCAACTATTTCTTGAATGAAATAATGTAGCCCATTAGAAAGCAGCATAGCTGAGCTAAGCTGGTCCAGTTTTCTTTGTATTATAATTCATTTATATAACCTAGAATTCAGCCATATAGAATTCAAAACAAAGTAGGGGGACTGGAAATGGTATTGAACTAAGACTGAGAAAACCTGGTCCTAGAAATAACATTTTACGCAGACTAGTTGTCACCATCCTGGAACTCAATTACAGCATCATTTCTTTTTAAAAAAAATTTAATTTAATTAATTTTTTTACACAGCAGGTTCTTATTAGTTATCTATTTTATACACATCAGTGTATACATGTCAATCCCAATAGCCCAATTCATCATACCACCACCATCACCCCCTGCCACTTTCCCCCCTTGGTGTCCATATGTTTGTTCTCTACACCTGTGTCTCTATTTCTGCCTTGCAAACAGGTTCATCTGTGCCATTTTTCTAGATTCCACATATATGTGTTAATATACGATATTTGTTTTTCTCTTTCTGACTTACTTCACTCTGTACGATAGTCTCTAGATCCATCCACGTCTTTACAAATGACCCAATTTTGTTCCTTTTTATGGCTGAGTAATATTCCATTGTATATATGTACCACATCTTCTTTATCCATTCGTCTGTTGATGGGCATTTAGGTTGCTTCCATGACATGGCTATTGTTAATAGTGCTGCAATGAACACTGGGGTGCATGTGTCTTTTTGAATTATGGTTTTCTCTGGGTGTATGCCCAGCAGTGGGATTGCTCTGTCATATGGTAATTTTATTTTTAGTTTTTTAAGGAACCTCCATATTGTTCTCCATAGTGGCTGTATCAATTTACATTCCCACCTACAGTGCAAGAGGGTTCCCTTTTCTCCACACCCTCTCCAGCATTTGTTGTTTGTAGATTTTCTGATAATGCCCATTCTAACTGGTATGAGGTAATACCTCACTGTAGTTTTGATTTGCATTAATTTAATCTGATTTGATTTGCTCTAATAATTAATGATGCTGAGCAGCTTTTCACGTGCTTCTTGGCCATCTGTATGTCTTCTTTGGAGAAATGTCTATTTAGGTATTCTGCCCATTTTTTGATTGGGTTGTTTGTTTTTTTAATATTGAGCTGCATGAGCTGCTTATATAAAGATTTTTCTTTTGATGTGGACCATTTTTAAAGTCTTTACTGAATTTGTTACAATATTGCTTCTGTGTTATGTTTTGGTTTTTTTGTCCCCAAGGCATGTGGGATCTTAGCTCCCCGACCAGCGATCAGACCCATACCTGCTGTATTGGAAGGCAAAGTCTTAGGGACTACCAGGGAAGTCCCTACAGCATCATTTCTAATGGAAGAGAGGAGACGCAAAAAGTCAAATACTGCCAGCTCAGGGACTCTTCAGTCTATAATACCTTTGTTCATCAGACTGTCAATTTTTGACTGGCCATTTCCAAATACTGCTCTTTTGAGGCTCTGAATTAACATGGTTCTGTTTCTGACTTTGTCCAGAGAGCCAGTTTTGTCAACTCTTTTTGAACAATAATCACAGAACAGGTAGGATATTGCAAGAAGTTAACAAGGGTTGAACAAAGGTCCCCTGGGAGATAACTTTCCCCCATGATGCTTCAAAAGCACAAACCTCCCAAATCTGACAAAAAGCCCATCTACTTACCCAGCACTGCTTCCTGATCACCTTGTACCTCTCTGGCCCCAGTGTCCTCTGGTGTCAGTCTGGGCTGTCCCTGCAACAGGTTCCAAAAGGATCGTGAGATTTACCAAAAACAAGGAGAATTTGGTGATGGCCAGAACAGGGGCCAGAATTTTCCTCAGTGTCCAATTCTATGATCATCTGGGTTTAAGAAACTAGAGCCAACAAAGCCTCAGACTCCACCAGCTCAGCTGAGGGTGAAGTGATGTGGCGTGAACAACACTGAAGCATGATACCTCTTGCCATGCTTCCCACCCTGTAACTCTAAGGCAAGTAGTCTAGTCTAAGCCTAAGTTTCCTCGACTGTACTGACCTCACAAGGATATGGTGAGGCTCAAAAGAAATAATGGGGTTTCCCTGGTGGCGCAGTGGTTGAGAGTCCGCCTGCCAATGCAGGGGACATAGGTTTGTGCCCCGGTCCGGGAAGATCACACATGCCGCGGAGCGGCTGCTCCTGTGAGCCATGGCCGCTGGGCCTGCGCATCCGGAGCCTGTGCTCCGCAACGGGAGAGGCCACAGCAGTGAGAGGCCCGCGTACTTAAAAAAAAAAAAAAAAAAAAAAAGAAATAATGGATATACATTTTGGAGCTCTAAAGCCTTGTATACTAATAAGGAATTTTAGATGTCTACAGAATTTCACACCTGGGAATGACTAAAACTACTGTTTTGCCTTATGTCCCTTAATAATTTTTTGCCCATTCCTCATATTTCAGCAAAGATTTAAGGTCATATTTGAGTGTCCTCAAAATTTAGGCCAACCTATGACTTTATTTGTAGTTTAGGCAAAGGAGCACTAGATGGGGCAATTCTTTTCACTCAATTCCTTTAATCATTCTAATTGGTACAAGATGGATGAATTACCCCCAATTAAGGAGCCAGGCTGAATAACAGTACTCAGAACCCTCCAGCCTGTTTAGTGTTCCTCAAACGATCCAACGTGCTTGAGCACCATGGAGCCTGTGTCCCACAGAATGGTTTAATCCCCAAGTCCCTCTCATAGAACCAATGGGCTCCAGGAACCACTTCCTTCTTTCCACCCGTAGAACTGTGTCCAGCATCACTCACAGTTGATCTCTGCATTTGCTCTCTCACACAGATCCTTCAGGTTCATCTTGCCAAAGATTTTGAGAGCCACCCCCCAGGCCTGCTCTCCTGGATGGTACTTGTTCATCAAGTTAGCCAAATCCTCCTGCTTGGCCTTCTTCACTTCAGACCAGGGTATCCTGCAGGATCCAGGTTCCGTGGTCTCATTCTTTAGGAGTGACTTGAATCTATTTAATTCCTCTTTGTTTAGCTCCTCCAAATACAGTAGCAGCCCCAAATCATAAAAGAAGGAGGAAGATGACAAATCTGTCATCTTGTCCAGGGATCAATATTCAAGCTTCAGTGGGGAAAAAATAATCAAAAGAATGTGGAATAAATGGGGCCTATGGAAAAGTAAGTTTAGAAAATGAAATACCTCTAAAAACATATATTAATTCAACAAACCTGTATTGAAGCCTACTGTATCAGGCTCAGTACTGACTTCCTGTCCACTGTAATACATTTTGTATCATAAAAACATTCTTCTAATATAGACCAATCTATGATTCTTCCACCTTCCCAAGAGTTACTCCCAGTCCCACACTTATGAGCTGTAAGAAATAAAGAAAGGCAATTCATCTCTCATTACTCTTCTGCAAAGCAAGGATATCAGAACCAATCTCAGAGGACTGTGGTATGGATTAAATAAGGTAGAGTTCCTATATCAACTGGCTCAGAACAGGCTCCTACTAAGTATTGGCAAATTTCTTCATTCTCTCTCTCCCCCACCAACACCCAACATACATCTCAGCCTATAAAACGTTGTTATTGTACCCCCATCATTACTCTTGAAGCACATGTGTCACCATTGGCATATATCACCATTTACCTCTTGTCATGTCATCTCTGGTCACAAATCCATACTAGTCCCTGAAGATCTGCATTCTTAGCTCACAAGCTACTTTCACATTCACTCCCCAACACCACAATTATTCTGGGTGAGCTCAAAGTTAAAGCCCTTCCCAAACAGCATTCTCGCCCACCTCAACCCCCATGACCTCATTGCACTCTAGCATCTCACCCTGATGCTCTCACTTATACTTTATCGTCAGCAGCTACCCAAACTCTGCAGAGTCCCTTAAATTAATTAAACTCTTAAACTAATACATTCCAGTTAATAGAGCAGTTTCATGCCTTCACTCCCATGGTGACTGTTCTTCAAATGCTATCAAATCCTAGTCTTTTGAGCCCTCTGTTTTCCTCTTATTTATCAGCCATCTTAAGAGCCTTATTCAATTTCTTATTTAGCATGGGTACTGCAATCATTTAAACCGTATCTTCAAGTTCCTCGTCTCCTCTTCAGTGATTTGCCTAAAGAGACAGAGCTAGTAAGTGGTACAGCTAGAACTCAACCTAGATCTTTCTCCAACCCCCTCTCCTTTCCAGCCTTTCACATGCCACCCCCTACTCTTGCCAATGGGATTGGATAAGATTGATGGGACAAGTAAAAATGTACAGAGGGAGATTTTACTTCTTAAACAGAAGGTGAATTATCTGAAAATTACAAAGTAAATCAGGACTTTCTCCTACAGTAAACTGTGAGCTATCTGCTGTTTTAGGGTTTTGTTTGTTTTGACTGGACTGCAGAAATAATCTAGATTATAGATTAGGATCTGACCAAAACAGGTTCCATAGTAATTTTTTTTTTTTGCGGCACACAGGCCTCTCACTGTTGTGGCCTCTCCCGTTGTGGAGCACAGGCTCATGGGCCCAGCCGCTCCACGGCATGTGGGATCTTCCCAGACCGGGGCACGAACCTACATCCCCTGCATTGGCAGGAGGACTCTCAACCACTGCGCCACCAGGGAAGCCCAGTAATTTTTTTTTTAAAGAAGCAAAAAGGAGAAAATTTGAGGAAACTTCAAAGGAATACTGAAATTCCTCCAGAACATACAAAATACGGTAGGTGAGGGAAAATGTGACATGTAATGTACAGTTATCACTGCATGGGAGCCTATCTTTTCCTTCTTCTTTCCTGTAACAAAAGAAGGTGGCTCTAGCCCCTTTTCTATAGCTCATTCCTTCACCCCTGAATCTCATTAGAGTCAGGAATTATTAAGGAACTTAATCCATCAGAAATCTCTCTTCACTTCTCTAGCCTCAACTTCTCCCTGTCCTCTAAGTCCTTCCCATTAGCATTTAAACACGCCCAAGTCCACTTTAGTCTTTTACGAATGTTTCCTTCACTTCATATCCCCTTCATCTTCAGAGTCAAACGTCCTCAGTCTTCTATACTTTACGTATTATACCTCCTCAGTCCCCTGCAATCTAACTGTTGCTACCACAATTCCACTGAGATAGCTCAGACCAATGACCACCCTTTTGTAAAACCCATTTTAAAATTCAATTTTCATATCTGTAAGCAGGAAAAATAACAGTACCTACCTCCACAAGGATTGGAAGATAACACATGCACCTAATTTACAGGGTGCCATACATATAATACTATTTTAACAATGCCTTAATTGTTGATATTTTGTCCCCCCTTGGCTCTCATAATATCCCATACTTCCTTCATTTTCCTCCTGCCTTTCTAGGTGAAACTTTGAGCCAAGATCTGTAAGTTCTGAATCCTACTGGGTTTCTACTATATGATATCTACAACTCTGACAGAGAGTACATTATACTTTGGCTTCCTTCCCAAAGGTTTTATGCTGTTCTTGAAGGAGTTTTTTTTTTTTTTTTAATTTTGTGGTCTTCCTTTGTTTACATTTTTGGGAAGAGGAAAACAGATGTTGTCTGGTGTGGCTCCTCTTCTGCGATGGCATTCATAAATTCCAAAATGTTCTGAACTAAAATGGGAACCCATGGCCTAAGAGGATCTATTTCAATTTGCAAATTTATTGATGTAAAATTTTACCACCTATAATAATGAAAGGATATTTGTTCAAAATAAATTGTTCACTCAGCACATATTAATAATTACCATATTTGTTGAGGATCTACTGTGACAGGTTCTTTATGAAAATTTTCTCTAGTCCCAAAAGTTTGGTTTTATCCACATTTTACAGATACAGGGACTCAGAAATTAAGAAGCTTGCCCAGGTTACAGAGTTGACAAGTAGCTTATCAGACTACAAAATTCATTCTCTTTCTACTAGGTACCACTTGCCTTCTAATTTCACTTTATCTTCCCAGACACTGGGAATTCAGATTTAATGAAATCTGTGTGGCTATGCTCTGATATCTGACCCTGTGCTGAACACCGGGCTAGGGGAAAGGGAAGACCTCTAAATATATAATGGCAGTCCTCTGAGCTCTAGCACTTCCAGAACACAAAGGAAGGAGGAATTCTTTTCCATAAAGGGTAGAGATGAGAAGGTCTTGGAGAAGTTACATTTTAGTTAGGAAATAGGATATTCCCACCCTTTTCATACATTCCTGTCTGATTTCCTTTCTTGGGCCACTGTAATCTCCTATAGCAGTTTCTCAACCTCACCACTATTAACATTTTTTGCCAGATAATTATTTGGGGGATACTGTAAGTGCACAGGAGAATGGTCAGCAGCCTTCCTGGCCTCTACCCACCATATGCCATTAGGACCCTCAATCTCCCACAGTTGTGACAAACAAAATGTCTTCAGACATTGCTAGATCTTCCCAGGGCAGCAAATTGCCCCAGATGAAACCAATTCCAAAGCCTTACCCTCTACTGCTTCGTACACAGTTCATCAGCCCTTCTCTATGACATTACCATAACAATGCAAAGAAACAGAGTAGATAGCTCAGAAAAAGGCATTCCCATGAGATTGTAATGGATGACAGAAGAAACATCATAATTGGGAAGGGAAGCATTCAGTGTAGATTATTAGGACAACTTGTAAACCATTCAGACAAAAATTAGTATCCTCAGAATAAATCTCAGATACATAAATCAGTACATTGTTAATACTTCAAACAAGAGGGCGGAAAGCAGAGCATATTCATTACGCCTTAGAAAAGGAGGAACTTACCAGCTTGGACACAATAAGGGAAATGATCAAGAATCAGGAGATATATTGTTAACTATGTTGAAATTAAAAATTCTTGTCCATAGGAATTCAAACACAAAAGGTAAACTGAAAACAGCAAATATTTTTAGGAAATTTGACAAATTATGAGTTGAATTTTAAATTAGTAAAACCACTTTAGAACTGTTGGCATTAACTAGTAAAATTGGAGATACGCACCCAGACCCAGATCTTGGTTTCTAATACCATTCTCCAATAAGAGGAATGAGGGCTCCTTGGAGAAACTGCTGATTCTAGAGCTGGGAGTATACAAACTGAGTCTAAAGCTTCTTGTTATGCCAGAAAGTAAGGAAAAGAAAAGGATGAGGTAGGTCAAAAAGATACAAGAACCAACCCAAAAGAGCTCCCAATGGCAAAAGTAAGTAATGTAGTATTATAACCTAAAGTATAAAGCAAATGTTCATAAGTCTGTACTGATATAGATAAATGACTGAATGAATAAATTAATGGGGGGAAAGAGACAAATCTTACTTACAGAAGAATTCCAAATACTTTATGTAGCTATTCCTTCCTCCAGGAGGTGGATCTTAACCCCAGCCCACGCCCACCCAGGAGTGTGGATCATTCTTAGTGATTTGCTAAGTGGAGAAACCTGACAAACTCTGCCCTAGCCTGGTGAGCAAGGTTAATATCATCAACCATGAGTCACTGTTGACAGTGTGTACCACTGATGTGATTTGATGAGAATGGCATATAACCACTGTGATATTCTTCCCCCAAATCCATAATCCCAGTCTAACCACGAGGAAAATTTTAGACAAACCTAAATGAAATGCTACAAAATACCTGGCCAGTAACTCTCAAAAATGTCGAGGTCATTAAAAACAAGGAAAGACTGAGAAACTGTCACAGACCAGCAGAGACTAAGGAGACAAGATGCCTAAAAGTATTGATAATATGGTATCCTAGAAAGGATCCAAGGGCAGAAAGAGTACTAGGAAAAAAAAGTAGTGAAATCTGAACTAAGTGTGAATTAATAGTTTTAATTAATTGCTTTAGTTGTTACAAATATACTTTAGTAATACAAGATGTTAAAAATAGGGGAAGTTGGGTGATGTGTGCACGAGAACTCTTTTTTCTATAAATCTAAAACTATTCTAAAATAAGATGGTTGTTTTTAAATTGGATTTATGCATACACGATGGCCTAGCAATTACAGTCCTCAGAATATACTATACCTAACAGAAATGTGTATGTGCAGGTATATGCCAAGAGACATACGAAAATAGCCATAACAGCATTGTTTGTAATTCCTAAGCACTGG